AGTTTGTAATGACAATGCCATGGGTGACGAGAATTTGCTTTAAGTATTATTCTCTTTCACTCCGTTATCTCTTGCCTTTCCTCTAAACGGGGTCTCTCAGGAGAAAAGCTGCAAGAGACCCCAGTTGGAAAAGACACCTTGCTGAGTACACACAGCTTCAGTTGTTTTTGGAGAAGTGTACTCCAGCTGGGTTTGAAATTGCTTTACAAATATCGTGTTTGTTTTCCCTCTACTCTCTTTCCCCCTTGCATAGTTGTGTGCATGGTACACGGAAAGGAAGAAGGTGATGAAATGCAACTGTTGCCTTCCAGATGTGTGAGGTTCCCGTAAGGTCCAGCTGCATGGCCAACAGGCTCCCTGCTGCTTTTGGGGGCCTGGCACATATCAATCCAGGCCAGCTTCTGGAGCGAGCCATTTCCAAAGGAAGTCAGTATCAGAGTGAGTGCAGGGAGAGGCCCAAGCTACTTCACAGACATGTCCAGGATCTATGCTGGCTGGAAATATGGGGCTTTCCACTGGAAACAAGACGCTAGAGAAGCTCGCTGGAAGCTAGAGAACAGGACAGGTTCATTGCGGAAGATCTGTGCAATGAAAGGGAACTTTACGGTTCCAAGCCGGCCTCTCCTGAGATCTGTCTCGTGTACAGTCTCTGCATTGCACACATTTCTGTATGTGCTTTCCTCTCCTAAAACTGCCCCCGCAGCATGTGGGGAGTATTTGAATCGGAGGGTGGCTGCCTAAACGGTGGTCTAATTGGCCCTTCCATGGATAGCAGCAGCTCCAGGGAGAGAATTTGGATTTAGGCCATGCTGGGGGCAATGCGGTCGGGTCTTCCCCCTGGTCGGGTCTCCCCCATTCCACGTCTGCCTTTAGCAAACGACACGAGATCCGGTCACAGACGGCTCGTATAACGCCCAGCTTGACCCCGAGTGACCTGCGCCAGGTCGATGCTCCTTGTCTGTAGTGGCGGGGAGAGGGTATGGACAGGCACACCTTCCATGTTGCTTCTGTAACAAGATAATCCATGCAAGATGCTTCCGAGCACAAAAATGCGACATAATGGCTCGGCATTATTATTTTATTTCCCAGGCAGATTTCCCCTTAAAACTAGGGTTGTACAGAGTTGGTTAGATTGCTTCCATCTGTTTTTCACAGCTTGTCTGGCATTTTTTGTTCTATCCTCTGCTGATGACTGGAATTGGAATTTTTATACAAGCTCTGTGTCTGTTTGGAAGCATGCATTTGTGCTAGCATGCGGTTACACGGATCTCCCTGAAGTTAAAACAAGAAAAATGTGGTTTGCGTCTGTACGACACAGAAGAAGCCGGTGTGCTGCAAACCCCACAGGTCGGAGTCATAAAAACCTGAACTCATTTGAGTCTCCGACATCCTTGCTGAAAATAAGGGTTTGGGTGGCCAAGTCTTACAGGTGACAGTCCTCTTTTGAAGCACTGCATAGTCCACGCCCAGAGAGGTTCAGCTATGGGGCAGCGCAGATATAAAACAAATGAACAAGTAATCCAATGGATTGATTAAAAGCCAGAAGAAAGAAGAACTTCAAGGACCACGAAATTGCCTCTCAACACTTTGCCTGCTTAGTTTGCTCTCTGGGCGCTCTCAGTCACAGGCCTCCGTTTCCCAGTTTTGAAGAAAGCAATGCATTTTGATTTAAATGCAGCAAGGATGCCGAAATGCACCTTTGCACAGACACTTTAGCACAGGCAAACTTGAGGCAAATGGGCACCCTCATTCCAGGGCAGAGCTTTCCTCTTTTGCGGGGCACACCCAGGGTGTGTATGTGGCCACCCTACAGGAGATCCGCTTTTGTAGCAAGAGTCCCCAGCTCTGCAAAGCCAGCTCACCACTAGAGGATGCTCCAGCGCTAAAAGTGGCGCAGTTTCCACACAAGGCGAAAACGGGAACCAGCACCGAAATCTGGACGGGTGGGGGGGGATGGGGAGGTGAGTGAGGGTATCTTTCTTACACCCTTTAGTCTTTTTTAAAAATTTCCAAAACCTTGCTAGGTATAGAAAATTACAGAAATCTTCAACGCATGTGTTAATCAAATCATGTAAGAACAAAATAAGCACTGCTGAATTCGGTGGGCATGCATCTTAATGATAAGAAATGGATTCGGTGTGGAGAAACGTATTTGTGGAAATGTAGAACCAGCACAGCATTGCTAAAACTTGATGACAACTGCACTGTGCAATCCCACATTTAGTGTACGATAAGGGCTTGTTCCCAAGTCGGGACCCATTGGGACACACAAATTTCCTTGCAACCCAATGGAGTATTTTCTTCCCAATACTTAAGTGGTGGAAAATGCATGGTCTTCCAGTTGATTATTTAAAAATTTATCAATCGCACCTGCAGCTCTGCTTGGGTTCTCTGGGTGGTATACAAGATGCAGAAAGGGAGAACTAAAATGATCCAAGTCCTGGAGCAACTCCCCTTTGAGGAAAGGTTACAAAATCTGGGAGGGTTTAGCTCAGAAAAAAAGCAAGTATGAAGAGACCTGATCCAGGTGTAAAAAATTATGCCGGGTGGGGAGGAAGTGGAGGGGGCATTTTTCTGTCTGCTTCATAATGCTGGAACCCAAAGGGGTCATGATGGGTGGGAGATTCGACAGATCAAAGGGAGGAGGTGGTGGGCTTTGCTTCCACAGATTGCAGGGATAAGCCACCAATCCGGAGGACGTTAAAAGGGGACTGAAAAGTTCATAGGAAAAATACCTATGGCTACTAGTCCTGATGGATCTACATTAGCTCCAGGGGCAGAAGTACTAGTCCCATGTACCCCAGTTGCTGGGGAACATGGGTGGGGGCATGCCGTTGTCCTCACGTCTGGCTTGTGACTGCCTCCAGGCTGCTGGTTGGCCACTGTGAGGACAGAGCAATGGGCAATCATAGGGTCATAGAATAGTAGAGTTGGAAGGGGGCATGAAGGCCATCCAGTCCACCCCCCTGCTGTTGCAGGACACCCATTTACACCATCCCACTCAGAGGGCTGCCCAGTTCCTTCTTGAATGTCTCCAGTGTGGGAGAGCCCCCCACCTCTCCGGGCAGCTGGTCCCACTGCCGTGTTGCTCTGACAGCGAGGAAGCTTTTCCTGATGTCCAGCCTGAATCTGGGTTGTCGCAGCTTGGTTATTTATTTATTTATTAAAACATTTTTATGCCGCCCCATTTGCCGAAGCCTCGGGGCGGCTTACAACAATAAGTTAAAAATAAATAACATTAGATTAAAAATATAAACATTAAAATTAAAAATACAAAAATAACATTATAACATTATTCCGTGCCCTGCACTCTGGCATCAGCAAGAAGAGACCTTGCCCTTCCTCTTTGCGACAGGCTTTGGGGTCCTTATAGAGGGATATCATCTCCCCACTCAGTCTTCTCTTCTCAGGGTTGAACATGCCCAGTTCTCCCAGTCTCTCCTCACAGGGCAGCATTTCCAAACCCCGGATCATTTTTGTCGCCCTCCGCTGGACCCTTTCCAATTTACCTGCATCTTTCTTAAATCTTGGTCCCCAGAACGGGACGCAGTCTTCCTGTATCCTTGGTCTGATGCATCAAGGTACACCTTACGTTCTTCTGACTGCTACTCCCATCGGCCTCGGCCAGCACAGCCCATGGAGCACGAAGTGGAGAGTCACAGCTGGAAGGCATGTGGGGCTGCACGTGCCCCCCACTGTTGCGAGGTGCGGAGTCGTGATCGACCCACTGCGACCCCTTGGACAACATTCCTCCGGGCAGGCCCCATTGCTGCAGAGCTTAAATAAGGACCAGTCCTTCTGAATGCCTAGCAGTGTTCGGCTCGTCTGTTCGAATGTGCATTATGGCAAGCTGGCTTCCTTGTCCAGACCGAAGCAGAGGCGATCCGCACCATTCCCTTGCACTTCCGATTTCTCCCCCATCACTTTCAATGGGGAGAACTGCTACACAGATGGGACATGATGTTGTATGTACGGGTCAGCTCACTCCATAGAAGTGAGTGGAGAAGACACACAGAGCTCCGGACTGATCGCATCCACACTTCAATCATGCATTCCTTAATCTTCTCCATTTTATTTCTTTTTTTAAATTAAATGAATGCAAACCTAATTTCCCAAACGTCTCTGCTTAGATATAATCCACATGACTGTTTTATCGTCCTGGTTTCACTCAGTTGTACTGCTTTTCCGTGCAATTTGTATTCAAACCCTTCCTTTAATCTTCCGCAGTGCTTCAGGTATGGGCTTCAGTCGTCTCTTCTTACAATCCCATAATGATTTTTGTGGGTGTGTGTTTTACTCTTCTATCAGTACTTCTCTGGACTCTATTTGCTTTCTTAACTACTGCTGCACATCAAGCTGCTGTTTATAATATTCTTCATAGCAGAACCTACAGTCCCAGATCTCGTTTGTCCGTTTGTCTGTGCTTTCCTGGGTGGGTCACCTGGCATAAAAGCCTTTATAACATATTGATCTTAAACATTAGACATTGGCTGGGTTCAGACCACAGAAGAGCTGAATCTCGACTTGGGCTGAACCTGGACTGAGTGTGGGATGCTGCTGAACTATGGGTTATTGTGATGTCTGAACCCAGCCATGCTAACAAACCATGGTTGGTTAACCGGGAGGGGATGCAATGCCTGGGGAGGGCAAAGATGCATCCTCTTGGTCCCGTCATTTCTATTGTTATGTTCTATTCTATTTTGTTATTGTTATGTTCTATTCTATTGTTATGTTCTATTGTATTTCAATGTATTTTATTGTGTTGTAAGCCGCCCCGAGGCTTCGGCAAGGGGCGGCATAGAAATGTAATAATAATAATAATAATAATAATAATTTCATGAAGCATCAGCACATCACTTCCTTCACGCTGACCTGCGGCCATGTGCGTTTTCATCAGTAGCTCCTTTAATTACGGATGGTTCAAAATTTATCAGGGGAGGAAAGAAGACCAGAGCATGTGTCTTCAGGTTTCATATCTAACCTATTCTTTCATGCTTCAGAACCAATGGAGATGTCCATGTTTGAATCCTCACCCCGCTATGAAGATCACTGGCTGGCCTGGTGAGTCTAGTCTACCTCGCAGGGTTGTAGTGAGGATAAAAGGCATGGGGGAGGGAACCCTGTGTGCCATGTTCAAAGTTTTGGAGGAAGTGAGGACTGTATTTGTAAGCTGATCTGGGACGAGCTGCATATAGGACGGGATGTAAATATTTTAAATAAATACATACATAAAATATTATTTTTCTGATTCCTTTTATTTCTAGACTGCCCAATACCTGAAGCCAGGGTGACTTATTTTATATTGTTAACTTATTTTATATTGTTAATTCATATTATTTTAATTGATTTATGTTGTGAGCCGCCCCGAGGCTTCGGTGAATGGGGCGGCATAGAAATTTTCTAAATAAATAAAATAAATAAAAAGCCTCTAAGCAGCTTGTATAAATTACAACAAAATACAATGTAAAATGCAGCTAGCAATACTGCTGACTTGAGAGAATACTTAATATTTACTCTGAATACTTGAAGAAAGGCTTGGTAACATTACCTATGGATGCATCACAGAATCAGAGTTGGAAGGGATCACAAAGGTCATCTAGTCCACCCCTGCTGCTTCAGGAAATCCTGTGCCACAAAGTCCCAGAGAGTTGGGTTAGGGTTATTTTCCAAGGTCTCTGTCTAGCTGTTGTACAGCTCACACTGCAAGAGAGTGGCTCTTCATATTTTGTCAGAGCCTTCTCTTTTAATTGAAATGCTTGGGTCTCGGGTCTGTTCTCTAGAACGACAAGAGAACATCTTATCTCTGCCTCTCATAAAACATGGATCGTGGCAGGACTGAGATAAAAGGGGAAAGAAACGTGTGCATGGTGATGGGCATATTGCAAAGATAGTATAGTGATCTTTCCCATGTCCTCAGCAGGGACAAAGATAGTATTATGGGGTGGCCCGCTAAAGCCCCACCACCCTTGCTGAAAGCGCCAGGGGCCCTGAGCATCTCAGGGGCAACTGGTCCCCCCCAGATGAGCCGGCTCTTGCCCCACGTGGGTTTCAGCTCCTGCTGCACCCCCAAGTCTTCGTGAGGCCCCCCCGCCCGATCAAATGCCCTCCTCTCCCATCTGGGCTTCCCTTTTTACAAATCGGGGTGTCCGTCGGAGAAGGGGTGCCTTACAGACACGCGCGCGCGTCCCGTTGCACGCTTCGCAGCAGAAGTGCATTCAACACGTGCAAACGCGTGCGTGCATCTACAGTCCTGCGGCCCCGATCCCCGGCCTCTCGGGGATCTAGCGGAGTCCCTGGCGGCGGCGTGCGGATGCGGATGGCCTCTTCAGGGGCCGTTCCGGCGGCGAGCCCAAGTCACGTGTGGAAGGGCCAAGAGAGAAAAGCGCGGAGCCGACACGGGACGTGCAAAAAAGGAACGGCTCGCGGAGACACGCGCAGCCTTTGCCGGGAGGCAGAAGCAGCGTTCTTACGGCGCGAGCCTGCGCAGCTCTACTCAGACGCCAGCCCCGTTGGGTGCCACGGCCCCTACTGCCAAGTAAGGGGGATCGAGACCTTGGCAGCCTTAGCGCCGGCGCGCCGCTTCCCCTTGGCCGCCGCCGCCGGGTGCAGTACCGCTCCTGACCGGGCGGGGGCGCGCGCCTCCTCTACCAGGCCAGGCCAGGGCGAGCAGGCGGGCGAAGGCGCTCCGGCGCCGGCGCGGCCATCGCGGTTCTGCGCGAGGGGGACGCCGCTCTGTCCCCGCCGAGTGGAACAGGCCGCCGCGGCCCCGCCCACCCGCCCAGAACCGGGAAGCGGGCGGCGCGCGCATGCGCACGGCGGCGGCGGCGGCGACGGCATGGGGGCGCTGCGCGGGGCCGGCGCGGTGGGCGCGGCGGTGGCGGCTCTGTATGTGGCGGCGGTGCCCCCCTCCGCGCCCGGGGGCGATTCCGGTAACGTACCGCGGCCCTGCCTTCTCCCCGCGCGCGCCCCCGCTCCCAGCGTGCACCGCGAGACTCCTGCTCAGTGCACATGCTCATATTTGCATATTCTAATTCATGTTAATGTTACGCTTCCGGATTCTCCCCTCCCCCTTTTCTTTTTTAGCATAGTGGACCCTTAGTGGATTAAAGCAATAAGAACATTGCATGTATTTTTATTAAATTATATATCCTGCAGGGAAATAATTATTTGTATATAAATGGTATCTGACTTGTCAGCTATTTTAACTGGTCTAGTTTTTAGTGAAGTAGTTTTAGTTGTGTGAACGGCTTTAAATTGTGTACACTGACAGGTGATGCTGCAATTGTATGTTCCATGTTGTTTCTGTGTTTTGTGAACTGTGCAGAGTTCTCCAGTTGTTGGGCAGTTTAGGAATGAAATTAGTAATAATAGGGGTGCTAATAGAGTTAATTTTTTGATGTTTATAATTCTTAAGGTACGGTGGGCCTGTGGGCCCCCCTCTTCCCTCAGCTGGACCAATCATTGAGCTAGCCCTGGATTTTCCTCTCAGCCTGGCCTACCTTGCAGGGCTGTTGTGAGACAGGCAGATGTCATGTTGTTGTCTTGCATGCATTGGAACACTTTTGCTTCTCCAAGCGTAATTACTGAGAGTTTATCCAGTGTTTGTCTAACTGAAGTCCTAGTCCTTTGAACCATGGCTTACTCTCATGTAAGACTAACATAACCTGACATGAAAGGTTTCCTCAGAAAACTGATCATGGCAGTACATTCAAATGGTGTTTGTGTAGCCTTTGTTCATGCTAGCACCTCATAACTGATATTTCACTAACCTCACACTAGAATGCTGCTCATGATTTCAGCGGCTCTGCTCTAAATAAGGCCAGGTCTGACTCCAGCCCAAGCTAAGGCAGCCAGTGTGATACCCAACTGGTAGACCTGTTAGCCATGTAGCTTTAAACTTTCTGCAGGGGATACCCAACTAAAATAAAAATCTTCTGCCTAAGCACCTTTCTCTTTTATCTCATAACAGTTTGTTGTGGGAGGTAAAATCTGAGGTGCCTTTTTTCATGTGATGAAGACTTTAAGGGTCTTGATAAACTTGCTGTTCCTAATGATACAAGGCTCTGTGGTCAGGAAGGTGGGCCAACCACTGAGAGCCCCTGCAGTTTTCATTTTATATTTGCAGTTTTGTGGCAGCCAAGGACTAAATAACCAATAATGAAAATATTGCCATTCCAGAAGCCCATTGGTAAGTCCTGTAAGCACTTCCTTTCTTCCGGTTATATAATGGGGAAGCAGGAGAACCTCCTGGTGCGAGCAAGGAGTTCAAGGTGGTGATGGCACTAGAGGTTTTGAGTGTGTCCATGAGAATAATTCAGTGCAAGGTAATAATAGAGTTTGACAGACTTACGAGAATGCTCTGGTGGAAGTGAGTGCAACTTGCAACTAAGGTGAAAGATCCTGGGTGATATTGCGGTTCTCCTAGGGTACCTTGAAAGAATAGTGGGATTTTTCATAGTTCTTTTGTGGGGGGTAGGTTATTATTTACATGGATCGTAAGCCAGCTTTCCCCATAGTGGAACATGCCAAGTCAGATCTCCACAGATTTAGGGAGGAGGACAAATATTGAGAAAACTCCACTCCCTATGCCATTTCACATCAGTGCAATAACATGACAAGCTCACACCTAGTGTCTACGACAACTTGCTTAAACCTGGTGCCCTTCAGGCACGTTGGGCAACACCACGACCACCTCTGGACCACTCCTGCAGGCAAGAAGGGAACCACCGTGAAACCATGTCTCCAAAGCCGTATGCACACAAACAGCCCAGAAGAATGCCATGCTCAGTTGTATCAAAATGTGGAACACAACCCATTTTTCCCCTGCAGTGGAGGGCAGGACACGTTCCAATGGAGCAAAGCTCAGGGAACCAAGCATTAGGGTGGATGCCAGGAAGTACTTCCTGATGGTTAGGACCCCGAGGGTGTGAAATGGGCTTCCATGGGAGGTGGTTGAGGCCCGATTGGTGAGGGTGTTCAAGGACAGGCTGGACGTGCACATGGTGGGCATGTCATGAGTGGAGCTGGCTGGAGCCGGGGATCAGACTAGATGGCCTGGGAGGCCCCTTCTGACTGTTTCTCTGTTTCTAAAAGCTGTTGAGAAGTCTGGGAGAGCCAACAGGGTGGTAACCCCTACCTCCATTCCCTGGTCTAATTCCTCAACCAGAATGACCAGCACTGCTTCCATTGCATCACCAGACCTGAAATTTGACTGGGGTGGATCTCAGTAGCCAGAATCATCTAATGGTGGTTGGAGCTGCAAGGCAGATCTGTCATAGGGTGGTAGTTCTTCAGAACGGTTGGTTCCAAAATCCTGAAATGACTGTGGCTGCCTGCAAACCTGCGGACACCTGCTCGATCTTATGTGTGACTTGGGAAGAACCTGCCCTTGGGGAATGAGTTTGTTATTAGCATCTAGGATGGTGACATTGCAGGAGAGAGTTTCTCTCCCGCAAGGAGAAAAGCAGTAGATTGAATAGGCAGAACTTGTCCAAACTTTCATGCACTGGTAACATCCCGACTGGATTACTGTACAGTGTTCTGCATCAGGTTGCCCTTAGAATGGGTCTGGAGACTTCAGCAGTCCAGCATGGGACTGCGCATCTGGTGTTGTGTATCGGATTTGTGCCCACATAACACCTATTCTGTATAAATTACACTAGTTGCAAACTGAAGCCAAGGCCCAATTTAAAGCTATGCCATGGAGTACCGCAGGGGTCCATTTTGTCCCCCTTGCTATTCAACATCTACATGAAACCGCTGGGAGAGGTCATCAGGAGGTGTGGGCTGCGGAACCATCAGTACGCTGATGATACCCAGCTCTACCTCTCGTTCTCCACCAATCCAGGTGAGGCAGCGGCTGTGCTGAACCGGTGCCTGGCTGAGGTAATGGGCTGGATGAGGGCCAATAAACTGAAGCTCAATCCAGACAAGACGGAGGTCCTTTTGGTGGGTGGCTCGGGCTTTGGGATGGGGGACTTGGGCCTTGTCCTAAATGGGGTTGCACTCCCTCTTAGGGACAAGGTCCGCAGCCTGGGAGTGCTCCTTGACCCGGAGCTTTCACTGGAAGCTCAGGTGACAGCAGTGGCGAGGAGCGCTTTCCTCCAGCTTCGGCTGATCCATCAGCTGCGCCCCTACCTGGAGTACGACTGCCTGGCGACAGTGACACATGCGTTGGTGACTTCCTGCCTTGACTTCTGTAACGCGCTTTACGTGGGGCTATCCTTGAAGACGGTCCGGATACTTCAGTTGGTTCAAAATAGAGCTGCCAGGTTGCTGACGGGGACGGGGTGTTATGTTCACATGACTTCAGTCCTCCGACAGCTTCACTGGCTTCCCATTGAAGTCCGGGCCCAATTCAAGGTGTTGTTATGACCTATAAAGCCCTAAACGGCTTGGGACCTGGTTACCTGAAGGAGCGCTTACATCCATATATGCCCGCCCGCCCCTTGAGATCTGCGGGAGAGGCCCTTCTCCGGGAACCTTCCGTGAAAGAAATTAGGAGGGTGGGTACTCGGAGGAGGGCTTTCTCTGCGGTGGCGCCCAATCTATGGAATGCGCTCCCCAGAGAGGTCCGCCTGGTGCCGTTGTTATTTGTTTTTCGGTGCCAGGCCAAGACCTTTTTATTTAAATGTCATTTTAATTGTTAACAATATTTACTTATTTATCTGGCCAGGGTGACTTCTTTTCTTTTCTTTTCTTTTCTTTTCTTTTCTTTTCTTTTCTTTTCTTTAACTTCTTTTATATCCTCTGTGTGTGTGTGTGTGTGTGTGTGTATTATTAATTTTAATTTTATATTGTTATTTTTGTATTGTATTTTATTGTGTTGTAAGCCGCCCCGAGGCTTCGGCAAGGGGCGGCATAGAAATGTAATAATCACCATCATCATCATCATCATTATCATCATCATCATCTTTAACATGCAAAGCCCTAAATGGCTTGGGACCTGGTTACTTGAAGGACAGCCTTTCTCCATATGCTTCTACCTACCCGTTGAGGTCTGGGAATGAGGTCCTTCTGAAAGAACCATCCTTAAAGGAAGTAAAAAAAGGTGGCGATTAGAAGAAGGGCCTTCTGAGTGGCTGCCCCCCCTTTGGAATGGGCTTCCTAAAGAGGTCCTTCTGTTGCCATCACTACTTTCATTTTGGGAGCAGGCAAACTGTCCACTTTCAGAGGTATTTTGAAACCTGATTTTAACGCTTGATTGTAAGAGCCCACCCTGCTACCAACAGGTTCCCCGCTCCCCCAGTAATTATAACTCTACTGTTGGCCTGTTTTTAATGTTAGCTGCTTAGAAAGCCCTTAGAGAGCTATTCAGCAGCCTATGAATTTGAACATAAGCAAAACTAAAAAGTCCAGCCTTCTCCAGAATTCTGGTGCCGTTCAGAATTGTTGGCTTGCTGGGGTGAGTTGGTCCAACGTCTTTGGAGAGCATCCGTTTGGGAAAGCTCTAAGGATTTTCACCTAGCAAACCCAGCTGTGGTCCAGATGCTGAGACAGCCAGAAATAGTCTGTTGAAGTGCAGTAGCCTCAGAGGCCCCCAAACCCCGCTCAATTTAGGCCGCTTCAGGGCTCATCGACATCCAAACCAGTGTTGTGTGCTAGACTGGGGTGTAAAAGGGCAAGAGACACCCCACACCACTCAAAACGTTTATGTTTCTTTTCCACCAGAGTCGTTTTAGGCAAGGAGGAGCCATTTTATGTGTGTGGCTCGCATGCCAGCATCCTCTCCTGGGCGCAGAATTGTCACCAGCCTTCCAGTTAATTAGGGGAAATTTTGTTCTGGAATTTAAAGTTCAGCCTGTGTAGCAGGATAATGCCACTTAAATTGTGGTTTATAGATCCTGGGTGCTGTGCAAAGCTGGAACAAAACTAACAGAGAAAAGTGCTGGAGAGCAAACAGGTGGACGCCCCCTGCGCACGCACGTGC